TGATCTCAACTATTAAAGTTACTACAATATCCACAAAACCTTTTTTGATAATAATGAGAGAACACCAAATAATGAGTAAATTATTAGATTATGTAACAAATAAATAGATTTGATTAAGATTACATGTTCTGTGATGATAAAAGGTTTGTCATGCTCTTCTAATGAACGCAGGTTTGGCTGAATGAATATCCAACTTATGTCCCCTATCTATGAAATAAAAGTCCTTGTTATTTTAGGTTTTCCAACCTACTACCCTTGAGATAATGTTACCTTGAGTGGATTTTGAAGCAGAGATTAGTTTTTTGAAAACAGAAATCCACTTAGTCTGCTTTTGTCTTTTTAATCTCAGGCCTAAATCAAGAATTGGTTTTGTTTTACATTTATTTTAAACGATTTAGTTTCATTTTTGTTTCAAAAGACCCTTCACTTTCATATATCCAAGACTAACCACAAGTATTTCGAAAAAAGAGGACCAATTTTGTTCAGGTAGAATGAATTTTAAAGATTAGTCTCATGTTATTTAAAAATTATAAAAAAAGCACCTTAAAATATTCCTGTCCTCATATGAAAGGAATTTTAAATCTCACGAGCAAGAATATTTATTATCTCTTATGATGACTTTGAAATACTTGATTAATCAATTTACTGTAAAATGAGTACTTATTAGTTGAAAAATAATAACATAAACGTGACCCTTATAATTTAGATCATTGAACTAGGTGGGGATATTCGATATTACAGTACAATAAATAACCTCTGGATCATTGTTAACCGTATCTTTCATCTTAGAACTAGTGGATATCATTCTTCATATAGTCATTACAAAATATAGCCTTTGAAAGCTCAAACTAACTTTATTAAGAACTGGTAACCAAGATATTTAATTATTGAGACTTATTTCTTAAAAAGATGCTTAATGTTACAATAGTTACTGTGAATAATAATCTTTCTGTTAAAACAAATATGACTTTTCACTATTAAAACCAAATCAGTACTACTTCTGAGAAATGCATCTCACAACAAGTGATGTTTGTACCTTTCCCAAATATACAATAGGATACAATAGGTCATAGTGAAAACAATGACCCCAGAAACAGAGTTTAAAGACAGTATTTTTTACAAGTAATATTTTCCTGTCCCAAATTCCTCACATAGTACACATATTTTATTTACATTCTGATTTTATCAGCTTGATATTTTTAACTAGAAAATTCACTTAGATTTTTTCACAGAGGCTGACTGAACAGAAAACATTTTGGACAGGAAATAAATTTGACTTATTGCATATAAATTGAAAATTTGTCTTGATAATAAATTTTATTTTGCCTAACCAAAACGTGGCATCAGTCCTTGAAGTTATTAACTTCTGGTCTGAGCCACGTTGGTAGATGCAGAATACCTGGTTGGGGTCTGCGTGACTATCGCAACCAACGGTTGGAGACTCTGAGTGGTACGGTTCAGAACCGATCACAATGGAGTAGGTGTATACACCCTTTGTCTTCCCTTAAACTGCGGGATTTGAATTGCTTCACATTCTTCTTTCTATTAACTAGTTCTTTCTTCCTGTACTATATCCTTATACACAACCTTTCTTATATATATTACTACCATTGAAGTAACTGCGTCTATGAATTTGGCGTTCACCTTGTTGTGTTAATGAGGTGCGGCAACTTGTACTGATGCATATATGTGCCTGGTCCTACGTTGTAGCTGAATGACTGACCACTGTTTAAGAAATTAGCACATTTGCATTTTAAGCAAAATACTGACTGGTAATGAAATTAATAGACTTTCATAAATCGACTGTTATACATGTGCATTTTCAGAATAAACATTTTACAACCCGAATGTTTTTCAGTGACCATCAGCGTTCCGTCATATCATTGACCGAAATGAGAATCCCAGTTATTACTCTGTTTTAATAAGCAAATGAAACACATACACATTAACCTAGTAACCATTTATTCAACAAATAACAAAGCTCTGACTCTTATCAACCAAAAAGAAAAACGTTTTTGATATGGTAAATTAGATATACATTAAGAGTAAATATTTAGTCACATTTTATAATTAAGATCACTAGTCAATAGAAGCTAGACCACCGTGGAAAACCTGGAAACACTGGACGGCCGTTTCGTCCTATTGTGGGACTCCTCAGCAGTGCACATCCACGACCCCGCCTCGCGGGATTCCAGGTTTTCAATTGACTCATGATCTTAACTATAAAATTACTAAAATCTCCACAAAAACCCCCTTGTGATAATGATCATATGCTCACTAGTGACTGGCTCCTCAACACTCTAAACAGCCACAGTTGTTAATACAAAAGCACGGAAACACATGCTATACTCCAATAACTTTGTGAAGAACAGTCAAGTTTCCTAAATGTTTTGATAAGGCTAATAAAACCATCAAATTAATTTTAAATGTATTGAACGCATTTTTAGACGAAACACACGTCAATATATAATGATGTCATATGTAGAAATCATTTTTCTTAAAGTGGTGACCTCCGTTATCATGATAGAGTCCTACATAAAGATAAAGATTTTTTAACCAGAGTGAAGTTATTGAATTTTTCGGACTTGTCTACCTAACCCCTGTTTTCAGGTTATAATGTATATCAAAACTTATATTTCACATTTAAAATATGTTTATTGTAGCTGATGTAATGATTTCTATTTACTGTGTGTACGTTAAATTTACTACCAAATATGTTTTAACATAATGAATATATTATAAGCAAAGATGGATAGTGGATAGTAGTGGGATCAAGGACGTACCTTTCGTCCTATTTGGGACTCGTCAACTGGATGTACCTGCATCTCAGAGTTGATGTTCACTCTGGGACTCGAACACAGTACCTTTCGCTTCAAACGCCATCGCGTTATCCACTTCTGAGATGCAGGTACATCCAAATAGGAGGAAAGGCGCGTCCTGGATTCCACTGCTAGCCACCATCCATCCTTGTTTATAATGCTTGTGAATTAAGGTTATATCGAGGCAGTCCGCACAGGATGCACATATGCCAATGAGAGACTGACCAGTTGCAGTCCCAAATATCAATGGAATGATTCAAACAAACAATACTAAGTGAATATATGTTTCAATATTCAACAATCAGGAAATTTAATCTGAATAAATTTAGTTGGTAACAATTTTATAAAAGTTGTTTTCAATTTTTAATATTGATAGTATCACATTAAATTTGCTAGTACTTTTCTTTTCTTTTTCATAGATAAATAAGGTAATTCTAAATTCTTCAATTTAGAAAACAGAAATAGAAGCATTCTGAGATTTATATAAGTACTCTTTTTATGCATTTGAAATAGGGATGTTTTAAAGTATTATAATTTGTACAGACTCACGTGACAGTAAAAACTTCTACTTTTTTGTATTTTGAAAGCTATAATGGCTGTAGAATATTTCATTTTTTTCACGTGACTGTCGATTTATCAGTAATTTTATCATTATCTACTGTTTAGTTCCCCTAAGTGACAGTGAACGGTCAAAAAGTAGGGGAAGGTCCATTTTCCATCTAAGTATCCTCTCATGGGACCTGAAAATTACAATTGCTGTCAAGGAATTTCCTCTTATAGCTCTCTTGCAGAAACTGCATTGTTTTCAGAAGTGAGAGGATGAAAAGCGAACGTCCAATGCTAAATCAAGTTGGTGGATATAGGAGATCCAACTGTGGTAGTTGAAAACCTTGATTCTAAACCCACGATGAGCATGGACCCCAGGACACTGAAGGGTCAAACCGCGAATGAACCTATGCCTTTGCACCAGCTAATGTAGAACGACAGCTCTTGACGCCACTCCACTGCCTTGTAGACCATGAACAACTCTACGTCAAAAGTGTGGGGAATGTTCTGAGTTTTACGGAACTACACTGGCCCACACATAAATTTTATGATGACTAATACTGATCCGGCCTGAGAATTTAGCGTAAATGTATCCGTCAGCATTGTTTAGACATGGAGATTTCTCTCTTTTCTCTCGAAAATTACACATCAATTAAAACAACAAGAAACTACACGATTCAGTATTATTAGAAAAAATGGAACCAAATTAATAAATCAACCGACCGCTACGGCCTCAATAGTGGATCTATCCTCCTTTGCTACTTATTACTCAATCACGATAACTTTTATCGTTAAATACCATAACTATTTATATCAAAAGACAGTTATTAATCATTTAAAAACCGTTCTTGAACCTAAATTTAGAGCAGTAACCAATAATCACCCAAGATCTGTATGATATTTCAATTCGATGAAGCCATACTAATGTTCGGATTCGGTGCAGTGATTATATACCTTGACCGTATGGTTAATTTTCTGGTGCATACATGTAAAACGCTAATTAATAAGATTTTATAAAATATAACAAAGAGCATATTCAGTGAAAATGATAATATTTATTCCAGGTTATCGCGTGTTGAAAATCGCTTTACACAAACTTTCACTCCACCATATAACGACTGGATTCTATCGGACCCAAAATAACCAGTTAACTGTTTCCAGGACCTAATACTCTCTTCATCATTGTGAATTGCTGATTGAGCCTACATAAAAACATTTGGTGAAAATGTCATTTCTACTTAAATTACTATTTAGTAGTTGAATTATTTAATCTAAATTTGTTTACATTTAGTAGAATTTTCTTAATTATTCACACCATTAAATTGTTATAAGGACGGAAAAAATCCACGGTAAACATTGAATGACATGACTCATCATCAGAGGATTGGCATCCAGTTGTTAAGTCATTGTAAGTAATCACGTGAACACAACTAATTCAATGCTTCCTGACACAACCAATTATGATGCAACTAAAAATCCCCAAAATATTTAAACTCATACCGTGGAATACAGTGATCATTTTTTTCGATTTCACAAGTTTAATAATTATTAAAGTTCATTGGCACATGAATCTTTGTTTCTAAGGAAGTAGAACTGATTAAATTCACGTCATTAAATGTAACAAGAAGAACAAGATTTTCTGAACTGTGTGATTTATTTGCGCAATACATTCCGAACAGTTTGATTACACAAATACTTGTTAGCAAACTTTTTATGGAAAAATTAAAAATTAGTCAGCTGAACAGGTGGAACGTAAGAGAAAACAAAGATAGTAAAGAGAATAATCTTGAAAATAATGTGAAACTAACCAGTCTGGATAATAGAATAATATTACCAAAGTGGGTTTAGGTTTGAGGAGAAACTGTTTTTTTGAGCTCATGAAGGGGTTTAAATTTTCATAAGCTCAAGGCTTCAATAAACCTTGATATGCGACCTTGAACACTTATGTGCAGAGCCTCAAAACCGAGTAAGTATCAATTTTATGACTTGTTTCAACTACGTTAAACAACAAAAGATGATGGATGTTTATCATCTACTATTACTAGATCATTCGATTTTATTTGTTTTTGTAATCATTTTGGTAAATACAAATCATATTCGCTCCTCCCTATGTAGGTGTGGTGATGCACACATGTAAAATAATAAAAAAGCATATGTGTAGTCATATTATCCAAAATGTACTGCAATAATATACAACACAGTCTTCATCATCTTCGTCTTCTTATTATAATATCCAAATTTATCGTAAACACAGTCTAGCATCCCTCTAAACCATGTATAAAATATCAAACGTCTGTTATTCTTGTTCGTATAATTTTGGCTACATATAAACTGCTTTTTATGTGTCTTTCAGCTGACAAGTTGTATCTATTTCTCATACTGCATACTTTTTGAAATGATAACTTTTCAGTCACTTTCGGTTTCTTCATTTAATTCGTTTAGTACTTTGTTTCTCTGTAGAAGCAAAAAGGGAAACTTGAGATTTTTCTTCTAGTAAAAGCTTTTTCATCTATTCATAGGGTAAGCAAATGTACTAAACCAGTGTTTATATGTATTCCCACGGCTGTTTGGTTGAACTTTGAAGTATATTTCCGCTTAATATTGCTAAGAATATCTAATTTAAATTACCTTTAAGTTTAGTATTGTCCGAAAATAGGTCATATTAAGTACCAGGAAACTTCTATTATTCATTTACTCTTCGTGCAAAAACTCATCAGCAATTCCACTACGATTAAAGTGTAAACTAAACATTGAAAAGATAGTATCCATTACCTAATTATACTATAATTATCCATTCATAAATCAATACATAACATCAACCTACATTCAACTGTCTATAAATAATCCGTAATGGGATAAAAAAGACTTATATGATTTTCGATTTCAAAAACCATAAACCAACATTTGAAGGATAAGCATTTATCAATAATTGGCATATTAAATATAAATAATTATTCAGTTAGTCAAAAATGCATTGTATGTCCAATAAAGTCATAAACATCTAGACAGTTTTGTGCACACATATTACATTTCAATGGGTTATTTACACAGTGCATTCCCATGTGTAAACAATATAAAGCTTGCTGAACAAATCCGATTTGACAATATTCACAAATGTATGGGAAAATTGGTTGAAAGTGTTCAACTTTACTGATATTTTGATTGTTCATTTCACTGTTATTGTGAATATTCATAGCAGTTTCTGTGTCATTGTAACAGTTTGAATTCGTACCTATTTTATCATGATGCATTTCGGATACATGATGTGAATTTTTCAAAATATTGAGCTTGGATCGATTGTAATTTACAACTTTACGCAAATTTTTAAAGCCTGATTTCTTATAACACCTGCGATCACGTCGTATCTATTTATAATTAATGAAAGAAAAACAACAGGAATTTTGTGACTCAATAAAATTCAAATAGATCTAGTGATTATAAGCAAAAATGAACAGTGGCTAGCAGTGGATTCCAAGACACACGTTTCGTCTTAGTTGGGACTCGTCAGCTGGATCTACCTGCATCTCAGAGTTGATTTTAACTCTGGAACCTTTCGCTTCAAACGCCATCGCGTTATCCACTCAGCTGCTGAGTCCTGATAACCACTTGCTTGTGCATTGGGATGAGGTTTAAATTCACTTGGTATTGTTTGTTCAAATCTTCCCATTGATTTTTGGGAATGCAATTGATCAGTCTCTTGTTGACATGTGAGCGTGCTGTGAGTATTACCTCAATATAGCCACTGTTCATCTTTGCTTATAATGCTTGTGAATTAAGGTTATATCGAGGCAATACGCACAGTATGCACATATGCCAATAAGAGACTGACCAGTTGCAGTCCCAAAAATCAGTGGGAAGATTCAAACAAACAATACCAAGTGAATTCAAATTTAGTGATTATTCTGTGGCAACATAAGCATAATTTTCAAGCACCTTTTTCAAAATACTAGTAAATATCTGTAACTGAACACATTTGTTAGTAAACTGGGTAACTTTAGGTCTAGTTTGTGTATTCTTTCCAGGTAGTTCATTAGCATTCTACAAATAGACTTATTTTGTAGTTATATTGTAAATATTAAATAATCTCCTACAGTTGTGGTCAATCATGATCAGTCGTATAACGAAATATGGATGACACGATCAATTCCACCTTAAAGCCATGTGTAGATGTTACCAGTTGTGAAGATCATATGAAATACAGACTTTTGTGATATAAAATAATTCAAATGTCACCGTTTTATTCTGTTAACTACATCATTAGCTCCATAATGGTTCTTTATATAAAGTAGGTTATGCTCAGGAGAGAAACTTGAGTTTACAATGGTATTAATAGGATTGGTCTTAAGATTAACAAATACCACGTGAAGAGTAAAATAAATTGATGAAGACAGATGTCTCATAAATTTCTTCAAGCTAAGTAACTTGGGTGTTATCGCTTCAAACCATGATTTACAAATCTGTATACACTTCTGAGAGTATCATGTATAAATGAAAATATGACTAAACATATGTACTAAAAATAAACACATCTGATGGATGCGCAGTGCTGAGGAGTCCCACAATGGGAAGAAACGGTCGTCCAGTGCTTTCAGGTTTTCCATGTTGGTCTAGCTTCAACTGATTCATGATTTCAACTATAAAATTACCAAAATCTCCACAAACCCCCTTCTGATGACATCTAATATTAGTCGACAATATTTATTCAACTAATACATAAACTAAGTCTAAGACTTCCTGTCACTTGGCTTCAATCAATTTAACCTTAAAAAATATTTACCACTATACAATACCATTCGAATTGATGACTAAATCGCAACTTTTCAGATAAATTTCAGTCATCAATAATGACTATACAACATGATACAGGTTATCAACACAAAATAGCCTAAGAATATTTTAAGACTTTCATACTGTATTAAAAGTGAGAAGACATTACTAAACTATAAACTAAGTTAAATTATTTTCATCTCAACTTTGAGAATATTCTCTTCACCTTATGAAAAACACCACTACCGTCGTTCATATTACTTGTATTCAAAAATCGGTTGTTTCCTTCCAAAACCGAATAATTCATTTCACAATTTCTTTGTTGACTTCCTAATCCTCGTGGTGAGGGCAATGATCGACTTCTTTTAATTTTGATGGGGTGATCAAAATTCTCAGATCTCTTAACATCTTCAAACAACTCACTACACTTAGAAACTCTATGGTTCTCAATACATTTTACATTTGAATCTGGAATAGCAATTCTCAAACTTTCTTGACTATTAAAATCTTGGTTTTCTCTATGAGATTTACATTGAACGTTATTTATAAATTTTTGGTCATCATTAGTTAACTGTGTGCCTGGTGAGAAATTCAATGATTTTGAAATATCACGATTTGAGGTTGATATAGCATTACTTCCAGTAAGAGATTTTATAAAAGAATACACTGATGATGTCGATGTTTGACTTGTTACAACTTCATTAGGAACATTTTTCAGTTTAGTTTTATTATCGTTTGAGATAGATTTTTCATTCATGAATTGAAAACTGTCTTTTATTGCTGATTTTGAAAATACATCAGTTTCATTAACTTTTAAAGATCGAATTAAATTCATCTTTATATTTGACGAAATATTATTTGTTGGATACTTAGAATTCAACAGTAGACTATGTAGACATTCACTTTTTTGCATATCTATAAATGATGAAGAATCATCTGGATTTATTTGACATCCTCTAAGAGAAGGTATATTACCTTCGTATCCTGATAAGAATTTACAGTTTTTCGGATTTGCATGAAGACTGTTTATATCGTTAATGTTATGATTGTTATTATTAATTGGTGTAGAATTTTGTATAGAATATAAATTCGGTAAAGTGAGTTGATTGAATAATATATTAAATATTGGTTCAGTTCTTTCACCTATCCAACTTGATAAAGAAGAACGATACGGTGGAAGATCAAAATTGTTTGATACTGCATCATGTTTCTGTGTGATAAGTTTATCTGAATCAACTAGATCTTCACAGAGATTTGTCTTGTGATTATTATTATTGTTCACATTTGATGCATTAGTGGTTGCATCAGTTTCTACACACATTCCAGCACGTGCACTATCCATCATATGCATAGCTAACATATCTCGTGTAACATATTCTGCTCCACACTTAGCGCATACAAATAGACATTGATTTGATTCATGGTCTAATATGACATCATTCAATGACATGATTTAGATCTAAAGTAATTAAAATGGTAATACATCAAATTTCAGTAAAATAAATGAAATCAATGGAGAAAAGCTAGTCGATAATTTGAATAAAACTAGTGGTGGAAGTATTTATTATTTCATAAGTCAGTGAACCTCTAAAACGTTTGTGACAAAATAGTTATATCGAGGCAATCCTTATATGATGTACATATGCCAACTAAGACCGATCAAAAGTCAAACAAAAATATCAACATGGAACAACTAAAAAAGTAATTTAAATTCATACTCGTCGGACAAACTAGTGGCTAACTGAATGCAGTAGCTAAGTGAATGATGAGTCTAACTTTTGAATGCAAAAGTACTGTGTCTGAAATCCGGAGTTATTATCAACTCCGTGATACAGGCATATTCAGCTTACAAGTCCCTAGTAGGAAGAAACGCTCGTCCTGAATTCCGCCGCTAGCCATCGATTTTATAAGCTTTTATGTTTGTTTTATGAATAAAATAACTCGAGATAATTTGTGGAAACAACCGAAAGTAAATCTTATAAAGACACTTAAGACTGTTTTAATGACCTTTAGTATACCCCTCGACCCCCTCTGGATAGACGATTAGAAACAAAAGATACTTTTAATGAGGTTTTTTTCAATTTCAGCGTGCTTTCTTTAGAGCCCAGTCAAGACAGAACTCAATAAACCTTGATGTCTTGGAATGAGCATATTGGGTATGCTTTAAATTAATTCTAACAGATCTGGATGCGAATAAGGTCAAATAACTTGACATATTTCACTAGATCAGTGTTTGATTAAATCATATCAGTCGAACTGAAGATTGTATTTGAATTTCAGACACACTACAACAACACTGAACTAGTTTCATCGTTCCGTTCCTTCACTAGGCAAATAGTTGTCATTATGTAGGTACGAGACTTTATGAAATCTATAAATGCTTATTCAAACAACATTACTGTGATACATTTTTTTCTTGAAAAGTGTTTTGTATAGGGAATCGAATAAATAATTAATCTATAAGTACAAATATAAATATGTTTTAAATTCAACTTAGTATTGCTTGTTTGAATCTTCCCAATTAGAGACTGACCAGTTGCAGTCCTAACAAATCGATGGGAAGATTCAAACAAACAATACTAAGTTGAACTTAAACTTCACCCCATCGCACAAGCAAGTGGCTATCAGGACTAAGTGACCGAGCGGATAACGCGATGGCGTTTGAAGCGAGGGTACTGGGTTCGAGTCCCAGAGTGAACATCAACTCTGAGATGCAGGTACATCCAGCTGACGAGTCCAAAATAGGACGAAACGCGCGTCCTGGATTCCACTGCTAGCCACTAGCCATCTCTGATAAATATGTTCTGTTCACTAGAAATATATGTATAAACGCAACAATGATTGTAAACCAATCAAACTTAGATTTTCATCTTAAAATTCAAATAGTCGTATGTACTAGAAAATTACCCTTGCCACACAATATTTATACATTACATAACCGTATATGTACACTTTTGTCTTTCAAAGGTATATATTCTCAACCAAAAACAATAAAGATGAACACCCTTAGTCAATAATAAGTTATGAAATAATATTACTATTAGATATACACCTGGTTAAATTTTATGAGCATTATAAATTTCCCAAATAAAGTTAGTATTTGAAATTTTGTGTAACTTTCACCATCACTAACTCTTGTTTGAATGTGCTAGATGACACAATAATTCGTGAAAATTCCTTAACTCCAGTTGTTTAAGACAGAAAATGTAAATGTAAAGGGATTTCTAAAAGACATTTTTTAATAATACAACTTGGAAACATTATCGACTAGTATATTCATCTTCACAGTTGTAGAATCATGGTACGATTCCATCAAATCTAATGATTAGTTTAATTCTTCACTTACGATTAGTTAGGCCCACAGTGATCACTTATTAATAAAGTTTTATTCAAGGTATAATGTTTTCCCCAGTTTTTCACTTGTAACATAACATAGGCTATGAAGTAATGTTGTTTATAGAATTTTAGTTTAAATATTTAATGTCTAGAATCTAACCGAACTTTATTACCTTGTAGATTAAGATACTTGATTTTATGCTAATTTGTTATTCTAAGGTATGAAACATGTCCGATATTGTATGTAGCTTACATAGTTGGAAATGTAATTAACTGTAACAAAATAACACTGTTAACTGAAGTCAGTATTGTAAAACAATGAACTTGAGCATTCTCATTTCAATATATCAAAATACATGCAACTTTCTAGTCAGGTTTTCAATACTACAAACAAAAATCTGAATATCTATGATTCCCCTCAATAAAATGTAATCCAAATCTGAAAACTAAATTAACAAAACAGTAAAAAGAAATAGTCAGATATATAATCTAGACCCTATAGTAATACATCTCATCATTTGAAATGTGACAATTCAGCTCCCTCTTTGACAATGTTTTGAAATAAACCATACTTTATCATTTCTATATTTTATATTTCAGTTTCACAACACTATAGATAATAAAGTTGTATAATTATACTTTAAATTAATGCACAAAGAAACTACCGTCGTTTTTATATATAAGCAGATAGAATGAGACTCCAAACTAAGATTAAATGAGATCAAGTCAATTTTGTTAATCATTATATTCTTCTATCACTGATTGTAAATGAATGGATAAAAGCTGATATTAACATATTTGTGGTCCTCACTAAGCTTTTTAACATAATACGAGTCTCATATTTTTTATTTAATCATCGATAAATGGAACAAAAATACTAAGATTACTGAATCAACAAAAGTAATCCATCCTCTCTACAATTAACAGCCGGAATACTTCCAAATCAATTATTAGTTAACTCCTAACTATAGAAATAGCGGATATTTTTCAATAAAATCTATGTAACCAGGATACTACTGCTAATTCCTTTCTTAAAATAACTTAAAGTTTATTTAGTCTGTTTAGTGTTCATTTTTTAGCGAGAATTGTTTTCTGTGGGATGGAAATGCTGACCCCACTCTCAACCCTCCTTCTTTACTCGGGCTTAGGACCAGCAATAGCCCTAGAAGAGCTACAGGCAGAGTTCTTAAATTAACTAGTTTACGTAAAATTAGACAATATACTTTTGTAAAGAATACATTTTTTCTAAAAAAAAATTAATAACGCTGTAATGTAACTCACCTGGAAATATTTTCTAAAAGGAAACAAATTAGTTACTGATTCTTGAAAATACTACTACCAATTTACTCAAATAAAAATATAATCATATTTACCGTGTGTCTATAATTCGTTATATCCCTGTCTATCTATCTATCCATCATTTATTTGTCAAAAAGAAATCTATTTGATTGGAAAACAAAAATAATTTATCAATCAGTAATTAGTAAATTAGAATCAAAATTAAATATATAAAACTTTTATTTTATCAATGGATTTTGTACCATTTAAATATGAAATATTTAAATTATAAATAAAATCATAATTTCAAGCTTTAATTAGTAAACAAAGCATTTTATTTCAATCAACTATCAAACGGACTCTTAATGAGTAAGTAAGGTAAATTAAATGTGAATTAGCACCGTAGTCAAACTCCCCCCCTTTTCTCTTTTTTCTGGTGGGTGACTGCATTATGAAGACGTCGACATCTGAGGGGAAGCACGGAATATAATGGAAATGTCAGAATCAATTAGACGATTAGGAATTCGCAAATAACCTAGCTCCCCTATCGCATACACACGAACAAATACAGATGGAGACAACTAATCTAGAAGCAACCTCTGCGTCAATAGGCCTCAACATACACAAAGGAAAAAGCAACACCCTCAAATACAACATGGAGGACACCAAGCCAATCACACTTGATGGAGAAACTCTGGAAGATGTAGAAACATTCATGTACCTGGGAAGCATCATTGATAAAGAAGAAGGGTCGGATGCAGATGTAAATGAGAGGATTGGCAAAGTAAGGACAGCATTCCTACAATTGAAGAACATATGGAACTCAAAACAACTGTCAAACAATATCAAAGTCAAAATCTTCAATACGAACATCAAGACAATCCTACTGTACGGAGCTGAAACTTGGAGAACTACTACAACCATCGTCAACAATGTGCAAGTATTTATGAATAGTTGTCTACGCAAAATACTCAACACACGTTGGCCAGATACCATCAACAACAGCCTTTAATGGGAAAGGACAAACCAGCTTCCAGCTGAAGAGGAAATTATGAAAAGATGTTGGAAGTGGACAAGACATGCATTGAGGAAATCATCAGACTGAATCAAGAGACAAGCGCTAACTTTTAATCTGGAAAGGAAATGGAAAAGAGAAAGGTCAAAGAACACATTACGTTGAGAAATAGAAGCAAATATAAATAGGATGAATAAGAACTGGAAAGAAATTAAACGGATAGTCCAGGACAGGGTTGGATGGAGAATACTGGTGGACGGATTATGCTCCTCCACCAGGGTTGACAGGCGTAAGTATGTAAGTTGCACAAGATAAGAACTAGACGATGATTTCATGTTTCTTTCACTTTTTTATGTTATTTTCATCAAAAGATAAACAAATATTAATGAAATGTCTAAACTGTAATCAACTATTAATTTTTGTCTTCGTACAATAATTTTTAGCTGAATGATTCATGGTATGTAACATGATTTGTAAATATGAAGCGTAAAGCAAATTATACAGAAGTGAACTACAATAGAAATGACCAAAAACTGAAAGTTATTGAAATTTTCCTTTACAACTTTGAAAGTTTTTGAATAGTTGATATTTTTAAATATAACTTACTGTTTCTTTACTAAACAAAATCCAAAGTTATCACATTCTAGGTTACTATATCTTTTCAACACATTCTATATGAATATATGATCCATCTATTTTTTCTATTTGTTAAACGGTCTCGAGAATTAGGCTTATTAAGTTTTTGTACATGCTAATGATATAATTCATGATTTATGGTAAAGTAATGGTCAGTACTTTTATATTTTTCAAGGAAACAATTTTTAATAAACGACACTTTAAAAACAAGTATATTTGAAACTGATGAAACGTAAAGTTCTATAAATTAATTTGAATCCTGTCAGCATCTACATGTATATCTCTGTAAACTATTGAAGTTAAGGAAACATCGTAAAATCTTAGCTAGTAAACTTACTAAGTTTTTTTCATACTATCTGAAAAAGATTGATAGAGCTATTTCGCATTTAGACATTGATACTGTGGGGCCTAGACACTAATTTAACTCAGGTTTGAACTTAACATCCATCTCGTTACTTACATAAATAGTAGAGTTTGTTTATACATTTTGTAACATGTTTTGATTAATTTATTGAACCCAAAATTTTTGACTAATGTTGACATGCAGTGCATTTATTTAGGAGTAAATAGTTTCCTTGAACCCTATTAAAACTAACAAAAGGAGTCTACTTCAATGGTTTAAGAATGTAGGAAAATGATAAACTTATTTGAAAACTTTCATCATTGTAAACTGTGAACTAAAATTTATGTAAATTTGAAAACTAGTCAAAAGTTTGTGTCCAGTTTGTAAAACACTGTTTATCTATTTCTAATATACCTGGATTATTTAATTAATTTAGTTCATATTATCTGATAAACTTGATGCAAACTATTCTATTATCACATTGAAACGCACAACACTATTCCAGTTACAAATGATTTACGAGTAACTTTAAAATTCTTAGTCGTTTAGGACATCCAATCCAGTCTTAACATATCACCGATAGCATTATTCTTAGTTGTTTTAGGTGCTGAATGTTAAAACCCAATAAATAACATTAGTTTCTTGAGAGTTACAGAGGCATATTACTTTAAAGCACCAGCTGATAAGTTGGTATTTTTATGTCAACTGCGTTCAATTGTTATATATCAAGCAAAATATTCGGCAGTGTTAGGTTGTTTAGTCACAATATAAATTAACGTATTAAATTTGCTAAGCACTAAAGTGTACATACTGGTTATTATTCAGTGATGTGAACTTCATTAAACAATCCAAGAATATTAATTGTGGGCCTTCTAGAAACCTTTTAGTATTATTCGGTATTTGTAAACGTTTTTCCAAGTTATGAAAGTGCCAATATACTTAATCTTTTAATGAAACAAAAGTTATTCTGAAAGCCATTTGCTCAAATTAAATTTTGAACACAGCTTATTATTAAAAAAATGGTATTTATAAGCTAACCTGGGTTTTGACTTCCAACCACGCAGGTTACACAAAGTACCCTCCCTACTTTTAGAACAAAAATGTCTTGACATACGTTTGTATTAGTTGTAAATTTTTTCCTAAATGTAAACCTATAATTTATAGGGAAAATCGTTAACATTTTAAAAGTCGATCTTTACAACCTTATTCATAACTTAATAGTTGAAAATTTCAACATATTTTCAAAACACTTTCCAATGAAAAAGCATCAGTTGGTAATTCCTGAAATCGAAATCAATATACCTATCATACTTCTATGTATCATAATTAAAACAAGACTGATCTATGTAACTAGGTTTATAGTATATTGTTTGCATTCATCATATGTTGAATTTAGATAAACCAGCCCATTTGGGCATTAATACATATTAAAATTATGGTATTATGAAAATATGTAATACAAGAAATCAGTATATGTGGCTTTAACGAATTAGCTAACAATTTAATCCATATTGTTTTTATGCACTACCTTTTATTCAATGACTGAACATTAAAGATTTGCACAATAACATAACTATTACCAACTAAGCCTGATATTCCGAAATGAAAACAATTGCTTACTAACTAATTTATCCTTTAGGCTCAAATCATGTTTAAAATAACACAAATTGAAGTCAGATCACTATAATATATTTGGTATACAGTTGTTTCTTTTACTAATAATCATTTTTTTCAATACTTATTTGGTTTCTTCTTAGTCAGGTTCGTGAGTGAGGTATGATGGGTGGCTGCTATCACATAAAACCTCAGTACAGTCCGTCGAGAAGCATTTTACTTTACACTGTTAATTGTATTTATTTTAATAAAGTGCTAAATTACAATCCCACCTCGTACATACGCCGATAGCCTCACTGTTCACAAATTCTGCTAAGTTTACTTCCCATTTAATCCTTTATTTGTATAGCATGGAAATTGGTTCGATTACAGCTTCACCATCATTGTGCCTAAATTTTTCTATTGAGGTTACGAAACATGAGAGAAGGTTTTTAACAGATAGTATTCTTCAGATAGTTCGAATTTTCCTTTGTAGTAAAAACTGTGGTTTTACCTTGAATCTCGCAGTATGTATGAATAACAAGGTTTAACTTGGTAATTTTAAATAAATTAAGCACTGGGTAGACTGTTAATAAAAAAATAATGTATTTGCAATATCCTAGTGAGTAGAAAAATTAAAATTTCTAACATTTCGATACTAAAACTATCAAAACAACCTAAAGTGGGTTTCTCAACTATAAAGAATGAGTAGCCGAAGCTTTCCATATGTTACCAAATCCTACTTCCTTCGGTGTGGCAGAATGCCCTACCGTCTATCCAACTTGAACCATTTATCGTAGCTGCCATATCAAAGTCTATCTATATCGCATACCATTATCACAAATACAAATTTAGTTCTAACTTACATTAACTGGATTAAACCTGTTTTTTAATTGACTGTACTCAATATGTTTACTTCATTCATTTATACTATTAAACGTGATTGAGTTTAATTTGTTTACTTATTAGTTCTCTAAAGAAATAAGTTACACTAAGTCATAAAATGTCAGAAAATTCAATTTTTCCTACCATTGAGATATTACAGATATATTATTTCAGTTGCTAATTTCCTCTGATTTTTAGTGTCTGCATTATTAAACTAACAATTTCAAAACTACAGGAGAGGTTATCATGAATTTACCCGTAAACTTTCAGAAACTCACAATGGTTCAAAACACAAGTGCATACTGTAGTCAAGAATAAGTATTTCATAGTACAATAAACATAGCTATCTAAGAACACATGTTATAACCTACGTGTATTATTACTTATATACATTATTCACTGAAAAATTCCGAGTTTTTCCATGGACAGAAGATCCATCTTACTCAGTAATATGAACATCCCTTTTAAGTAAATACTTTTATATTTATTTGAAAGTACCTAATAAATACAAATCAATCAATAGGGAAAACTTGACACAAAGAAAGTTTACTAACTCACACCGGTCTGTAAAATGTAACAAAAACTTATAGGTCCTGGGTTCGAATCTC